CCTCAATGCTCCAGCAAATCTCAGAATCCCAACCTCCATACTTGGATCCTACAGTTTTGATGTGCTACACCACTTCTACACCTAATGCTCACCTTTATTAATGTAAGTGGCAAGTCCAGGATCACCTTGAAAATAGTTTTCCCCTCCAAATCACTCAACCTGCATCTTCCTGCTAGAACCCAATCCTGACCCTGAGGTCTTCTAGATCTAGAATATCAGTAACGCAAACACTAAGCTATATTCTTACATAAGACTAGTTTCACATTCACTGGCAGAATGACTACAGACTTCAAGCAGTGAAATGTATTTATTGTGAAAGGTTAAATGTGAACACTGAATTACAATCCATGCAATAACAGATCTGACACTTGAATATTAACTAATGTAGTCTAGTATTCACTATTAAACTTCAGATCAACTGTGAAAATACATCTAAAACATGTCAGTGTATGAAATGATTCTGCAAATAAGACCTTATTTCACTACTCAAAATTTTGAGAGTATTAATAACAAGATTTTGCATGCCCAGTAACTCTCCTACAATAAATAAATTAATAAGTGAAGGAAAAAAACATACATTAACTAACTTTGTTTCCTTTGCATGATGGTCTAAATATTGCAGAGCACATGAAAAGCCCTCATGTGATTTTACAGGTTGCAAAGCACATAAAGATGGTGAGAATTTATTTTAGATTAGTTCTATTTCCAATCCTCATTATGGTAACAAACTTCAACATCAAATAACCTCAAAATCCAAGACTATGAGGCATTACAGCTTTTCCAATAATTCTGTAACACAAATCTGGTGATCAACTGACCACAGTACTTCTTCAACTCAAAGTATGTGATCTGAATCACCCAAACACTACGCACTCTAAGAATAAGAGATACAGGAATTACTCACGAGTATAGCACACTTCTGAATGGACCTATATAAGCATTACATATTTCTTCTACTTTCAAAACAAAGCTAGTACATGAAAATATGTCAAACACAATTGTGTACAACTACACTAATTGTATACATCTGCTTGCCACACAGTTTGGCCTCTGTGACCATCATCAGATTATTTACATACCTTATCCTAAAGCAGCAACATTGGCCAATGTTTAGATTATTTGAGTGACTTTTAGTTATATTACCAGTGGTAATTATTAGCAGTGTTGTTGGAGAAGACCTCCAACACCACCAATAAACAAGATCTATGACACTGAATCAAAACAACAACAAAAAACTAAGGGATCGTACACACACCACATACATGACAACACAGTGGAAATAAAAATGACACAGAAAACCAATTCAATATACGTCACGCTATACATATGATATTTGACGCCGCAGCACAAAGAACACAAGACTGTCCATCTCCACCCCGAGTCCACATCTAAATTCATCTGCTGCTAAACTTAAAAAATTTTGCTGTAACGTGGTGAAAAAAAAACTCAAAATGGTAAAGTATGAGAATCGGCGTAACTCAGAAATCACATACACCAAAAATGTAAACACTGGACAAAGCGGCTGCTATATGATTACTTACGTAAACAGCCTGATGACGGCCAAATCGGCCTAATATGTCACATAATAATGAAGGTGAAATTCTGCACTTGAACATTTAACAGAACCTCATATGTATGAGTTGTACAAATCATGTGACACTCGAATAACGCATTTTAAATTATAATATAACATTCCATTTTAATGTTACGAAGTTCCCACTGCAATTCATGGTAACGTGAACGTCGAATTAAGTACTGATTCACGCAAAACTACTTAAGCACGTATTTACTTCTAACCTCACAAAAATGCTAAGTGGGGAGCATACACTTTCCCACAGAGACGATCACAGGCCTTCAGACGGGCATGTAATAACACAAACTAACTACAACTGTCAATAACTAACAAATGAACTTTCTAAGAGAACATGTAACATAATGGAACATTGCAAAGAGAGAAACGACAAACACATGGCTATACACCTACACAGGCTATAAAGCCAGCTATACATAACACACAAATAAAAGCTATGTATATTCGTCGTGAAGCTATCGCTGGCAATTCTGAGTACTGGGCCCCTTCTACACCAAATGGGTAATATCACCAGGTGAAACATGTACAAAGCCGCCATCTTTATGAACTACTTCGCCTCCTACTTACCGGTGGCACGCTGTTTACTGTTGGCATTTGCTTTGGGCCTCCTCTCTACTTGTGTATACTTCAATAACATGTTTAGGTATTATACCAACTTTTACAAGAGTCAAAAATAATACAGTAAAAAGATTTGAAGACACTATTGGTTGAAAAAGTCTCGGCACAAAACCAATAACAACCAAACATCGGCCATTACCCTTCTTTACCCACAGCTGACAATATGCCATTCTGATTGGTCCAAAAGTCACTGACGTCAATAACTTCCAAACGAAATTCTACTGAAATAGCATACAAGAATATTTTAAATTCACTTTAACATCGCAGCACATCTTCACATTTGAAAAATACTCTAAAACATGTATATTTGTGCATGAATGTCATTCGTTTCCTTCCGCATACCTAATATTTATTGGCATGAAATAATAAACAGTGTTGTTAACAATCTCATGTACTACTGGTCTGTTCCAAGGTCACAGAATTAAAAATTGCCTCGGTAATTAAGGTTCTTTACAGAAACACCAATGCTTCATGCTTATTACTATTGAGCAAGATAAGAATTCAGGAACTGCACAGGCCACAATCATCACTCTGCTGACTGTAGCATGAAATAAAACTACACAATTTGTGTCAGAACTACATTTATTCTTGTTAATTAGATCTACAATTCTTCTTTACTAAGCACAATTGAACATAGTATACAACTGGAGCCAAATGTCAAAACAGGCAAAATTACAAAACAGTATGAAAAATATTGACATGTCAAATCTTTGTTGGGAAACGGGATGTGGAACGTGTTACCATGAAGACAGACCCTTGATAAACGGTTGGTTGACAGTTATGCAACAGTAGAAACAAGGTTATGCAACATTAAGGAAAGCAGTGTTTTTAGAGGCGTTGCTTGGCAACGCTGCCGAGACTTGTTCATTGCTGCGTAGCAACCAGCACACTTTGGCTCAGCTCGGCGCGTCACGGAGAAACACTGCAAGCAACAAAGCTTTTATTATTCATTACACTGCTTTCTATGAAAATAAGTTACTTTATCCTTGTTTCCTTTATATAGAATTCCAAGTGGCAGCTCCACACATCAAAATAACAGTGGGAGCAAAACTGCTGGTTGTGCAGTTTTAAGGAAATCACCTTCTTTTTCACCTTATAGTATTGTATTATGTAACAGTAAGTAAAGCTGTGTTTTCTGTGACGCGACGAGCCGAAGCGCGCAGGTTGCTACGCAACAATAAACAACTCTCAGCAGCGTTGCCAAGCAATGTCTCTAGAAACACCACTTTCCTTACTGTTGCATAACTTGTCAACTGACCGTTTATCAAAGGTCTGTCTTTGTGGTAACTCGTTCCACATCCTGCTGCCCAATAACAGTTTGACATGTCACAATACATTTTACAAAATTACATAAAAACAGACTCTGCAAGAATGACCTCTCCTCAGTCCAAAGCGAGAAGAATTACCAAGATAAGTATGAAATGGGAATATGACCTCTGGTGGGTAGTGAGGACACTGGGAATAAGTGAGGATGAAATGGTTAGAAACATGTGTACATAATCAGTCTCTCTCTTCAGTTATTACTGAATGCATGAACAGGAATTTTTGGACTTATGTAGGCTCATTAACTTACAACTACCAGAGAGGTGGATGCCTCTCTGCAATCATAATGGCACTTAAAACAGTTGTCTCTGTGCATCTATAAAATCTTTGGCAGGTGTTATCAGAAAGTCAGTGTAACCATTCCACAATTTGCCTCCCACAAGAAAATTCAGGCTGAATCTAACTACTAATGTAAACTGTAAACATAAGCATTGCATAACTTGTTGCTAGGACAAAAACATGCCAGTAAACTACAAATTCTGGCTAATTAATAGTTGTTCTGCATAAAGCCATCACAGAAGCTAGCTTGTCTTCACATCTATGCTCATTTTTTACACATTTTCAGTTTAGTACTTTAACAATACAGACTCATCTTTCTTCAAGCAGGGTTTCATCTCACCATGAAATACAATATATAAGCACTGTTATGTAACAACAGGCACATCAGAAACACTGGCAGCTCACTGTACCTTACAATATCAAGACTGCATCAATAACCAGACATAACAATATTAAGATACCAAGTCACAAAACAAAGCATTAAATGACAAAACTCTTTTATCAACTGATGCTCTACAATGGCCCCTTTTGATATACACTATACTGTGACATGTCACACCGTTGTTGGGCAACGGGATATGGAACGAGTTACCACGAAAACAGTAAGGAGCTTCATAACTTGTACCCTTCTCCAAGTATAATTAGAATGACCAAGTCAAGGAGGATAAGGTGGGCAGGTCATGTAGCACGAATGGGGGAGACAAGGAATGCGTATAGGATATTGGGGGGAAAGCCAGAAGGAAAGAGACCACAGGGAAGACCAAGGTGTAGGTGGGTGGACAATATTAGAATGGATCTTAGAGAGATAGTATGGGATGGTATGGATTGGATAGATCTGGCTCAGGATAGGGACCAGTGGAGGGCACTTGTGAACACAGTGATGAACCTTCGGGTTCCATAAAATGTTGGGAAATTCTTGAGTAGCTGCAGATTTGGCGGCTCCTCCAGAAGGGCTCAGCTCCATGAGTAAGTAAGTACCACAAAGTCAGACACTTAATAAACGGTCCATTGACAAGTTACTCAACAGTGGAAACGAGATTATGCAACAGTAGGGAAAGTGGAGTTTCTAGAGGCGTTACTTGGCAATGCTGCTGAGAGTTGCCTATTGCTGCATACCAACCAGCGTGCTTCAGCTCGGCATGTCATGGAGAAACACAGCTTTCTTTACAGTTGCATAACTTGTCAACTGACCGTTTATCAAGGGTGTGTCTCCATGTTAACTAATTCCAAATCCAGTTGCCAACAAGCTTTGTTCCTTGCTCAGAAGGGAAGTAGGGGCTGGGCAGAGTCAGCTCCATAACTGCATGTCCAACTAGCCTGAAGAAGCAGTCTGCTGCTCATCATTCTCACTTGATAGACGCTCCTTATTCTGTCGCACCATCTCAGCCCGGCGTTCCTGCAGGAGAAGACAACTGTTTTATAACACTGTAAATCATGAAGGAGGTGGGGCAGAAAAGAGCAAATAAGATTAAAATAGAATTGGTTTTAAGGACAAAATATGAACACTTCTATTATTTACTAGCATAAAACCTATTGTAAATTCAAGAACAATTCTTAAAACCAAACTTCATCAAAAAGAACTAAATAGCTCATTTATAGTAAGACACTAAACTTGACAAAACAGTATGCTTCTATCTTAATGGCTTGGAAAGTCTGCACCATAGCTCAAGCGGTTAGTTCCTGGCTTCCCACCGCGGCAGCCCAGGTCCGATCCCGGTTCTGGTCAAGTGGGATTTGTGGTGGAGAAAGTGGCGCTGGGGCGGGTTTTCTCCAAGTACTTCGGTTTCCCCTGCCAATCTTCATTCCACCAAATTCTTCATCATCATAATCACTCGGGGCAAGCTACAATAGGCCAATTACTGGTCACCATGCCAAGTGGACCCAGTTGGACTCCACCACCCACTAAGTGAATTAAAAAAAAAATAAAGAAAAAAAAATTGATGGCCTGGGGGAGGGGGGATAAACTTGCTTGTAAAAAGCAAACTTTGTCTGAATTACTGAACACCTCTTTTTGCTTTCTCATGTAAGCGGCCTCCGTAGTCTAGAGGTAACGTTCCCACCTCATGACTCATAGTACGCGGGTTCAAACCCGGCGGAGGTCGTGGAATTTTTAAGGGTGAAAAAATTCAGGGAACAAGTCCTCCAGGAGGGACTTTAAGCTGTGGGTCCCGTGTCGTAGCTTTACGGCACGTAAAAGAACCTCATATCTTCAAAGATCACTGAGCCAAATTCAAGAACGTTTCCTGCCCAACAGTAGTCTCTAACCCCTCTGATAGATGGGGGAAGCATTATAGATACCGCCAAGCCAGTAGAGGCCGAACTCGCTGGCTCGGTCGGGACTGATGGTACGCACCAATATCGGTAGGGTATAGAGACTGGTAGAATATCATAGAGGGAAGCCCAATGGACAAATACTGGTCTAAGTGCATGGTGAAACCCACCCTCTCCAATAACTAACTACTTTCTCATGTACTACACATATGGTGTGCATGTGTGTGTGTGTGTGTGGGCGGGGGGGGGCAATTTTATTGACATGGACTCGGGAGTTTTATCCATGCCAGGTCAGTGCCCACTGAGTCTGAACACTGCAACTCCAACAGGTGGCCTTCAGATGAGACCCAAATCTCAAAACAGAAGTTTTCTCAAAAATTAAATTCCAGTAACTTAGGGACAACACATCCCTTAATAAACCTGAACAGGTGATAAATCTTCAGGTAAATAATAGTACACACACTAGGGGCCAAAATGCAAAAAGATTTTCTCAAAACTGGTTTTACTGGTCAGATTTCACTGTTGTGTGAAATTCTGCAACTAACAGCGGCCTGTTTTTTTATTTCCAAGGTAACGTAGCTCAGGTCAATTTTATGAGTATATTACAAAGAAAACATATGCAATATCTTGCATTAATTTTTTAAATTTGCAACAGCATCAAAACGGCCATTATCTGTTTCGTGCATGACCAACAGATACATTTCTTTCTGTCACATGACCAATTATAGTAGTCATTGTTGCATGATTTGGCTACCACATACAAAACAAATACTGACATACTTCATAAATTTCAATAATTGTTATTACTTCCACATTACCGCCATACACACTGCTTTCCCTGTGTATCCTCTGTACTGTCTTCCCTTATGTTAATGACCAGCCATTATTCTGAACGATGTCAAAGGCAACAAAGCGACAAAACCTTCTCCAGTCATTGCACACATCTGTGTAACTTTTTCCTGTTGGAATATTGTACCTAATCCTCCAGTGCACTAACAATGGAAATTTGTTTTTGACAATTCACTGCTGCCTGGTAGTCAATCTCAAGGCTCTTAATGCCCAACCACACAATACAATAAAACCTCACTAACACAGAACAGGAGTAATGGCTAATCAGCATTAGTAACAAGTATGAATTATGGAACATGTCCCTTTTTTATTTTGAGCCAGGACAGCTCAATCAGTATAGTGATAGGCTACAGCCTGGATGGCCAAGGCATCAGGGCTTCCTTCCTGGCAAGGCCAAAATACTTCATCTTCTGTACAGCATCCAGACTGGCTCTTTACCCAGGGGTATAGAACCAAAGGCATGAAGGTGCCCAGTCACATCCACCCATTACTGAGGTTATGAATGTGTGGACCTGTATCTCCACTTGCCACAGATATTCAAGGCATGGTGCTTAATTAAACAAATATAGAGACAAACATTACCATGCCAGAATTATTTTCAAAAGCAGGAAACTATCATTTTATGTACAAATTAGATGCTATACATTCATTTCAATACTTATCCAAGGCAACAGAAACTGTGAAATGTAACATTAAATCTTGTTTAGAATAAATTTGTTCAGCACAAACAAAATATGGACAAAAGATTTTATCATCTCCATAACACCCAGAATGACTCTGGGGCTCACCCAGCCTCCTATACAATGGGTACACATGACTGATTCCACAGGGACATGAATCTGACCACTCACCTCAATCTAGTCTTAACGGAATAGAGCTTAACCCTTTCGTGCGGTCATTTAAATTCCGCTGCCGTGTCTCTCCGGCGGTAATATATTCAGCCGTCCATTTAAATTTTGCTCGAAAATGATTTATTCATCATTGTTCTTAAATTATATGAGATAGAAACATGAAACGTTCACTAAAAAGGTGGTTTTATAACCTTACATTATAATATGAGCGCCCAGTATCTCGGCAATGGAATCAGGTGACGCCTTGAAGCATTCTTCTAAACACAACGCTGACTCACATTCACCACACCAATACTGCGTATCTTTTCTTTGGCCCTTTTTTTTTAACCACACATCTTCTGTGCGGCCTTGCCTTCTTCCTCGTGGGGGGAATACAAGAGGAAATGTCTCTCCGTGAGTCGTACTGCTTGCCAGATTAGCTGCAGTAAATTCAATCTTTATGTTATCATAACAAGGGGTTGGTGCTTCTGCGTTTCATATTCTAAGATGTCGTAGGGGTGACCACAGAATTCATGAAGTTATTCTAAGAACTGGCTGGTATGTAGTGCACGAAAGCAGAGCTTAGCTGGCTCAAAAAAAATATTTATGGTCATCCCTCGAAACGACCACCAAGGTCAGTACAATAAAATGGAGTCAACTGGAGCGATAATACATGAAGGAATGAGTTCTTTTCCCCCCCACACACACCCGTATCGTCACAGGGGGTGACCACAGTGTTCTGCCTTAATTCGTGACGTTATTCTAAGAATTGGCTGCTATGTACTGTGCAAAATCAATCAATCTTGCAAGAATAAATTTTTGGACATCCCTCTTCTAAGAATTCCAATTGAGTGTGTTAGTGTGGCCAGCTCAGGGCAATATGATATTATAAACACAGCACATATCACCTCTGCTGTTTATAACTTCACAGTAAAGTAAACACGCCATTCATAACAGTTTGAATGAGGAAACCTCTTCCAAGAGTAACAGGAAATTTGCTGCAAGACAGGCATATGTAATGATGAATTAGCGCAGCTAAACTCGTGTCTCATTATATATGGTTCTCCTGACAACAGGCCAGCGAAAAATCTAACAATCTACAGCAAAATCATCAATTACTATGGGCGTTATAATATAGGTGTGCAGCTGGACGAAACATAGACGTCGAACCCCCGCAGACGATTTAAATACCTAACGACACATACACGTCAAACCACGCTGAACGGTTAATTAATTAAACCCAAGGATAATTTTACCTTTAAGGAGGAAAAAATGACAGCCAAAATTATAAAGGGTTAAGAATAATGAAGATTTACTGTACGTGGAATGTCTCAAAAAGAGGGAACCCTCAAGAGAAACAATTCCTACCTCTAATTACTTTCCTCAGATGACCCCTAGAATGATCTACTCTTATATAAACCATGATTTCATGGCAGCAATAGAAATTTGTACCTGGCACAGGTCATGATATAACCTGGCAAATAATCACATAACTACTTCCATACCTTTCTCACAGGCCATCCCAGCTAGTCTTAGGCATTTATATGTAACCAGTATAAAAGTTACAGTTCAATGAACAATACAAACAATTCTTAACAAAGTGGTACATTCACTGAAATGTGATCTACACATGCATAAAGACAGGAAATATAAATGCAGTAAGCAAACATGCAAATTAAATCCTCATTGGAACAGAGACATACTTGTTTCAGAACATTCTCTTTCACACGATCCTGACTTGCAATTTTTTGGCCATTCCTTGACACTTGTGCCAGCTTTCTTCTCAGTCTCTTCAAATGATTTTGGATAGTCTGTTCAACCTCTGCTAGCCTTTTGCTGTTCCGGTACATAATGTCGTACCACATGCAACATACTCAACTACAGTGCAACACCATATAACGCATCAGCAAAAAGAATAACCAATACCATATAACAAAGTGTTTCACCTGATCTCTGTATTCTGGATACCTTGTAAAACAGGCATTAAAATTCCTGCATAACATTCTCTAAAGAGATGCATTTCAATATGCTAATGTGACATTTACTTTTCCTCAATCCTTTTTCTTTTATTATTCTGACCAACATATCACGATTTTTCATGCTGCTCAGTATGCTCTCGTAAGTACTGGATGACACACGGAAGTGAATTTCATTCTTTTATGCAGGACTACATACCATTACTGTGCCGGGCATTTACAGCTTTCTGTTTCTGGTTCACATGCTTCCCAGCAATTGAAATGAGAGTCCTATATTACCAACTTACAGCTTCATTCTGGAAGCTCCAAAGAATTCCTACTCACCTTGGTGAAATCTCCACCGGTGTCCATAATTGATGCAGTTGCAGTACTATATCCACACATTTTTTTATTGCTAGCGGGGTGGTACTAAGTCCCTTGTACTGCGGCCACTTCCGGCCTATTGTACCAGCCACTGATGACAGGTGAGGGCGAATGTGGAGCAAATGGTGGAATGAAGATTGGCAGGGGAAACCGAAGTACTCGGAGAAAACCTGCCCCAGCGCCACTTTGTCCATCACAAATCCCACTTGACCAGACCCAGGATTGAACCCGGGCCACCACAGTAGGGAGCCAGCGACTAACCACTTCAGCTATGGCACAGCCATACCCACATATTACCAGCAGCAATAACACAATGTTTATTGTCTGCCTGCCAATGGCAGTGCTGAGTGATACATACCTACCTACCTACCTACCTACGTACCACTCGGCACTAGAGCTCTGGGTTAGCCTTGGCCTCCTCTACAACCAGTCTCCACATCCAATGCATGCTGCCATAGGAATGGACCCACGCATGATAACCCGAGGGTGGTTGTTAGGTTTCTGAACAAAATTCTTTTTACAGGATGAGGTTGTGAGCCTCATGCCTAACACCCAACCTGGAGGACCAGTACTGAGTGATACAGTCAATTATTGTGTGGTTGCAGAAAGTGAGGTACAAAGGTAGGGTGGGTCATTACTCACATGACTACGCAGCTTCTCAAGTTGCTCCTGCTCGAGCTGCTCACGTCTTGTCTGTGCCAACTCCAGCTTACTCTGAATCTGAGACTCCAACTGGTTCATCTTCTCGAGCATTCCTGCCCGAACCCGCTGCACCTGCTCCTCCTGTCCAGTGGACACACTCACCACTCAACACACACACGCAACAATGCTTCATGTTCTTGTTCAAGCATAATGGAACTTTGCTAAGAGGATGTGCCATTGCATTAGGAAAATTACTCTGCCAAAATCCTACTTTCACGGAATTGTGCACATTTAAACAGCAACACACCCCATTCAAAACTAGTTGTACCATACTACAACCCTTTCTCAACCAGTCCTCTAGAGGAAGGTGAAGCAGAGATGCCCTACACATATTTGCAGAAACCTATATTCTATTTAAGCATCTTGTTACATTCCACACTTCTATATGTATAATACAAACTCCGTCGTAAATGCAACACTATTGTAGTTCTTGTCCCCTTCTTTCACACTACATGATTCAGCCACAACCGGCCATCATCAGGTGTATTTTACTTCACGTAGCTGTCACACTGCACTCAATATTAACATTTAAACTCCAGATTTACAATTGTTCATTGCTCTGTCGTCAATCGGCACCCAATATTCCAGAACTCCCCTTGTCGGTTTTGTCAATTATGTTTAAAATCTTTATTAATATTGACTCGTCGATTGTTTTAATATTTTAAATTCTCAATTTAGCTTTAAACCCGTGGGTTTACTAGTAGCAAGCACCAGCAGCCGACTGTCAGGGATCGCCAGTGCTCAACAGGCCAGCCAGCCTTGCCACAACTAGCACTGGCTAGCCTGCTACTGCAAGAGCTTCACCCAGAATCTTGCAGGTTTGCAATCACCGGGCTGTTGCAAGGAAGAAGGTTATCACCAGCTCAGGCTAGTCCGCTATGAAGGACATTTTGCCAGTATTCATCAGGCACACTCTGCTTCCCTGATCATCTGTAATTCATTCTAACAGCAATAAATATGTTACACAAAGGTCGTACCGAAAGTTATGAGCAACATTTTTGCATGGAACCTGGGAACAGCAGACGAAAGAGAGTATGGTGGTAGTTGGAACCAGCTGTTGTGTTAACCTTGAGTGTCTTGTGACATCAATAGCTTGCATCACATGACCAGTATCACTCCTAACAAAATGGCCAACAATGATATGTCATTTCGCCAGCGGGCTGTCATCGAATTTCTTGTGAAAGAGGAAATCCCTACTGCAGATATTCACCAGAGACTTCAGCGTGCTTATGGAAGTGTGTGCATAGGTGCGAGCAGTGTTCGAAGATGGGTGAAACATTTTAAAGATGGGAACACCAGCATCAAAGATGAGCCTTGGAGCTGTGGTCCTCGAACAGCCTCAACTGAATGCAACAAGGAAAGAGTGGATGAGATCATTCAAGATGACAGGCATGTGACTATGGACACAATAGCCCGAAAGCTTGGGCTATAGGAAAGTCTGTGCTCGATGGGTCCCAGGTCTGTAGAAGGCGTCTATTTGAGGCTACAGTTAACAAGGGACTCAGGTTCACATCACGCCTACTACTAACAATATTGAAGAAAAACTTCAAGTAAGATGCTATGTTGTTCTTTAGCATTGAGTTTCTAAATGATACAGAAAGAAATGTAAAGCACTCTTTTCTCTCATACAACCATCTTCTTCACAATACTATGCAGCTTATTTTTCCTGATCTCAATCTGAAGTGTAAATTTAAACCCTGAACAGTAGTATTAGCATTACATATCACACCACAACTTTCAGGGGTCATTGCTTCTTTAAATTGTCTTGTTTATTCTAACCCACATTGCGAAAACTTGGTCTATTCACAGAGTACTTTACCACATCTATTATGATTTTCCCCAAACATTCCTCACAAAAACTGAAGTATCTTATACTTGTGAAATAAGAAATTAACCAGTTTGGGTAAATCTTCCATGCACTATCCATTCTTCTACTAGGAGCAATCAATTCTTATTCAATGTCCAAATGTAGACTTGAATGCACACCACTTTTCACAAAGTCCCATTTTGCATGAAACTTAATTTAGCTTAAACATAAATTACAGCTAGCATTAAATGTGGGCATATGAAATGAATGCACTAAATGTATAATTTAGCATAATGTAAGGTTAAGAACTGTTAAGCTTCTTCTAGCAAGCAGTGCACACACACATATAAACAAAAAATGAAGCTTGTGTCATAACACAAATCAAATTCATGGTTTATAAAAGGGTCTTAAAATATGTACATACATGGCTCCACTTATGATCTCATGTCATGTCAGGTCAGCCCCTTGTCACTATGGCATGGGGCATCCTCAGGTTGAAGATTGGGGAGATGGGTTCCTGATAAGGTGGGTAGCTGCCAATATATTGAATAAGAGGCTGTGGACTGCCCACAAGAGGTGGTCCACCAGTTTAGGGGTTAGGCATGGGACCAATCACTCCTCACCATAAAAAATAAGCTTGTTATGGAAAGTGACAAAGGACCTTGAACAGATTCTTTCAATAAACGACCTAAGATAAAAAAGAAGTGGACGTGATAAAGTACATGGAATGTAAGAAGTCATCCTCACATGAATCATACATTGTTCATATGAAACTAAATTTGGAAGCAAAATAAAGTGAATGCATGGTTGAAGTATGGTTGAAATGAATTAAATGAGTATGAAAAGCCCAGAACCTCATGAGATCATAAAAGAACCACAAATACACCTGTGGACAGAGAAATCTAGTTGACATTCTATAAAAAGAGGCATTAACAGTTTCCCATATCAACTTCATTAAATGCAATATAGTATGAATTGATGGAGACATGACAGATATCAGCATTATGTAAAGCCAGTGACTAGACTGAGAGGCATACAATGCAAATCCAGCAAGTATATCCCTCAAACAAGAACCAAGCATAATGCAATTATGGCATGCTTCATTACCAGGTCCCGGATTTTTATGACCTGAAAATATTTAAAAAACGACCGAAAAAATCCAGAAAAATGACCTAAAATATGACCCAACAATGTAATATGCAGGGCCCTGATTTTGATGACCTGAAAATATTTAAAAAATGACCGAAAAATCCAGAAAAATGACCTAAAGGAGAAAGAGAAAGAACACTCCTCTTCCATATTATTCACATTTCAGAAAACATATGAAGAAAAATTCCCTAAAATGGCCAAAAATGACAAGAAATACTCTTAAAAGTCCAAAAATTTACCAAAAAGTTACCCAAAAAATGACCTTAAACCTAAGTGTCAAAATATGACAAAAAAATTACATATAAAATTTACATTTCTGTAACCAGCAGCTCATATCCGAGACGTATATATTTTAGAGCAACGCACAGGATACAAGGAAAAAAAGATGAGATGTCATCAAAATCCAGGCTCTGTTCATTACAAACCTGCATACATCTCAAACAATTCTGTTCTACACTTTTCAGACCCTTCTATAAAATCAAGAACTGTTACAGTATGTTGCTAACTCACATGTTCCTTAAGCCTATCCAACATTTTTTTAATATTCTCATCTCGCTGAGCAGCTGCTGTTTTGAGCTTCTCCTCAACTGCATTTCTCACTTCATTTGCCTGCATTTCTAGTGACAGTCTCGTCTTCTCCACACTCTCTCGCTATAAGAAAAAAAAATACATACAACTACAAACTGAATATACAATTAGCAAGGAAATTTCCCAACATCATGTGTTACAATATACGGAGCCATGAACCAAAATTAGTGCACAGGAACTCTTTTATAGCAGTAACTGGATTAGGAGAGATCAGAAAATGTTACCAGATTTTGATGCTATACTTCAAAAGTCTAATTGAAAACCCTGAATTGTATATAAGTATAATAAAAAGAAAAGTGATGACTGATAGTTGAAAACTAATTAACAAAGTAAAGGTAAAAGTCAAAGTCATACCCGTGACCACAAACTATGCCATGATCTCATATAAAAACTACAGATGCGAGCAATAAGCCTAATGATTTAAGAACTTAACACTTTGCGGACCAGTGGCATATTTTTATAGTCAGTGCTTCTAAACGTGGCGGACCAGTGGCATATTATTATGATTTTAGGACACGTTATGCACTGGCGCCAGGCAGACGCATGACTGGTGCGTGATAGACCTCTTGAATGTTTGCTTCGTAGTCAGTAACATGATGCCGCTGTTTATGACCCAACTGTTTTCCTTTCCCACTCCAAAAGAAAATGCCTTTGTTCATCTTCCAGCTGCATGCACCAGGGAGGAAGTTACTAGTGCAAAATGGATCAAGGTCAGAAATATTTAATATTTTAATTAACTTAATTAATAAATATTTTCTCGGAGAACAAGAAATATCTGACTTGTTCTCCAATGAGCTATCTGACGTCCCTTGCGAGTCTGCTAGTGATAGCGACTCACAATCTGATAGTGAGTGTGGCAGGGGTGAACAAAAAATTGTGGCCACAGACAGTGAAAGTGACAGTAGCAACATTGCGGGGACAACCACATGGGGAAAAGTAGACAAAATGCCTGCTTTGGGACTGTTTACTGGAAATCCTGGGGTGAAGCAAATTCCACTGGACCCAAATCCACAATTCACAATTCAAGCATGGTTGATGTTCAAAGGAGACATGGACAGGTAAAGAAGCCTGTTTCTATTTCTGAGTATATGTTCATGAAGGAAGTTGATAGAGCCGATCAGTATTTGGCCAATTATTCTCTTCCTTGGAAAACAGTAAAGTGGACAAAGAAAGTTGCCTTGTGGCTTATAAATTGTGCCATTTTCAATTCATTTTTGGTTTTCAAAAATCTAAACCCTCATTCAAAATTGAAATACAAAGCATTTCTGCTGAATGTGGCAAAAGCCTGGGCGGCAGCAGACACAGGCTTAGTGTGACTGGGTCCACCAACTCCCACCCCGCGCAGACCTCACGTGGACCCCCCTGGGTGACTCTCAGGGGATATGTGGAAACATACCCTCATGAAAAATGTGAAGACTGAACATGCCAAGGGGAAGCAGCCTTCTAGGCAATACCATGTTTGCAAAGTACACAAGAAAATGAGTATGACTGGCTACATGTGCAAGTTCTGTGTAATGCCACTTCACAAAGGGGAATGTTTCCAGAAATATCACACTATCAAGCACTTCTAGGAACACTGGTAAGTGTTCTCCAAAAATTTTAGTTCATAAAATTAATTAGGATATTTTATATTAACTTTTAAAGTGAATATTGCACAAGTTAGGGTAGTAGGTCTAAAAATGTAGGTCCCAGGGTGATTTAAATATTTAAATCACCAGCCCCCAAAGTGTTAACCCTAAGGTGAGAACACCAGTACACACTGAATTGGGAGGCCAGTCTGAATATGTGAACAAAGCTAGAAGAAAGTGGTATACACAAATCTTCAGACACACATAACATACAAATATGTTGCTTAATATTCACTACAGAATGTATTTATGTATAAACACTGAACTGGAGAAATAAAAATAAGAAATGCTTTTTAATAAAGTTCATCACCTCAACCCATGAAAAACCCTCCATACAAGCACATTTTTGCTACTAGAAAAAATATATTCATACTTTGAAACAACATTTTGACACAGGGCCACTTTCTGGGGAAAAAGAAAAGAAAACATGTCTGGGAGGTATTCATATAGCCACTTCCTTATAGCAGAGATTTGCAGTCCATGACACAATGAGCTGTTAGTGTCATGTTTAGAGAATGGAAAATTATAACAACAGTAAAATGCAATTTAGCTCCTGGGTTAGCATGCTAGACTCATGCACAAATGGTCATACATTAAAATTCTAATGAAGTTAGAATTTTTCATCCCTTGCAACTGCAAATACAGCATGTTAAACTCAGCAGCAGCATTGGCAGAGGTGGAGATTTTGTCCACATTAACATGGTCAAATATAAGTTCAAAGTTTCACACTCTCCCCATGTTTTTAACTATTGACTTACAAATAAAATTTCATACTGAATTTGTAGGTATGATTTCAATCTGCTTTCATACCAAATAACACATGCCTATCTTGAATAGTTTATTAATTACAGTCATTAAATTGAAAGCTTGATACAGAAGCCCTCCCCTTCAAAATTTAACAAGAGTACTTTGTTTCCATTAAAAGCAATTTTTAGTTGTATTCATATAACAAAACTAATGGCATTATAGAAGTGTTACACTAAATATCAACTTACCATGTATAAAAATACTGACAAGTCCTAATAAACTTCAAGATTCAATGAATTTTAGAACACCTGCAATGCTCCACATATCTGGATAAAAACCTTCTTAAATCAAGACTAAAACAGACGTGGGATTTATAGTATGCATATATGAGAATGACTGTATCCAGTTAAAAATAAGATTTTTTCAAAGTTCTGATAATTAACAGAAGAATGAGAAGTTTCTCTAAAGGTAAATTTTTTACTGCATCTCAATTTATAACAGCCAATCTCTTACGATGCAAAAGAGCTCTAATTATACATTTTATCAGATTTTTTGTGAAAATTGTTGATAAATCACTGTACTTAAAAAATAAATTCCAGTGTCGTGTTTCTTTTCTTTACAGACAGAAACAGGCAGACACAGATTCTGCTGACAAGCTGATTCATGCTAACATTGCAACCATCCAATTATGAGGGATGGAGAAGTTTGTATGCTACTACACAAAGCAAACAAAGTTATCTAGAATTTCCTAATGTTTTAAACTGAGAAATCAATATTCAAATCAAGATAAAGACTTTTTCTCGATTCAATATCGATAACTCAAGGCTCACATGTCCATTTTATGCCAGTTTAGTCAGAGAATGATTAAGAGTGAAACCTTTGGTTTCATGTTTGATGAAGAATTTGAACTCTGAAGATTTAACTTAACTTTCAGATCAAGAATGCCTAATTCATTTTCCCTTTATTTAGAAATACCAATGGCAAAGTGTATTTATTGGATTCTAAAGATCTAGAATAACCAAAGACAGACAATCTAATTTCTATCTAAAATTAATACTTTCAAACCACAATTCCAAGAGCGGCAAACAATTTGGGGCTTAAAAAGTATGATGTTATGTCCCAACTTATATCCTAGTAACTTCCAGAAAGTTCTTATTTCATATCAGGAAGTATGAAAATAAAGACAAAAATGTTTAACATAGAATTTATAAAGGATTTATGGAACATCTCACACATCTCCTAGAAATTTCAAAATTCAACTTAAAATATTTCACCTAACCAATTTTTTACATGACCCTAATCTTTTTCTATTGTCATGAAAATTTGCCAAATAAAGGTTATGTACTGTTCAAAGATCTATGACACCAAATGCCAACTCCATTGAATCGAACTAGTGCCCCACCCTCGTAAGTCATGCCATCACCATTGTACTGTTAATGACAATTTAAAAGGTACAGTATCACAATCAGAAGATCTCCAACAGTATAGTGTTTATCCAAAATTTTACATCATGCACTGGAAACCCTCAAGTGCTGATAAGAATTTCAATGTTAACTTAAACTGAAGTAAGCTACAATTTACCTTTAATACCCACATTAACAAGTAAACCTTCCCAGTATGAACAAGGCTCAGTGAGTGCTGTATTGAAATGTAAAGTGTGTGAATTAGTGAAACAGTTATAATTACTTCTAGTTACAAGTTGTAAGAGTCCAACAAATCTGATTACCAATCCCAACACCGTATCTAATCACTTGACAGAGGACAATATTGTGGCATGACAACTGAAAGCCAGAACAGTTTTACAAATCAATGCGCCCACTGCTAGGAAACGGTGCCATAAACACGTTGGGAAACGTGGACTCAGCGCAACGTAATAACGCACATGTCCTCATAAACAAATGCACGCGGTATCTCCTTCGCTCCTTGAATGAAATCATGCAGCGATCACACGATGCATGTACCGTTGCAGGGGCGTCCAAAGTTCACTCTTCAGTCTGAATGCAGGTTAACGTGCATCCGAATGCAGTGAGTACACTCAAGTAACTGTGCGCTTTGTCCACTCCTTGCTGTCAGCTGTGGCGACACGGGGGTTGCTTTGTTTACGCTGTCTGGTCTCCGCGAATGGACTATAGGGCAACAGGCAACAATATAAGAGGCCAGCTGATGACCGAGCGTGGTAGTGGGTGTTTCGCCAAGACAGACAGCAGTAGAAGGCACTGTGCACCGACAGAAGACAGTGAATGTTGACAGAAGCCAGTGGTTACCCAGCATGGAGAGACAGACAGTTCTATAGTATAGTAAGAGTTAATACGAAAGGAGCGACTGTGAACTGACTTGCTCAACTTTCTGTGGTATAATTACGGCATTGAGTAATAAAGTGACATCGCAATACACTCCTCGAGTTCTTGTTACATGAAATTTCTGGTGCCAAAACCCAAGAGAGGGATACATACGATAAATTTAGACTTCAAGACTTCCAGGGAAAGGAGAAAACAGACATGCCCATGGTCACTGACTTTAACTTGGATCTGTCAATATTTGCGACTTCAGGCTTTTGACAGACCCCATACAGACGATCAACCAGGTTGTAAGATTGTACTTGGAGATACCCTAACTACTTGACATGGCAGATAGCGAACTCCGAAGGCTAAAAAGGAAGCACTCCATGGCAAGGTTCACTACATTTATTATGGCATCCACCGCCAGCACCACACTTGAGGATCATGAGTACTACCGAGACCGTCAACAAGAGACCCTGGATCAACTACTTTCATTGGATAACGATTTCCAGGATCATTTAGAAGACAGTGAATACACAACTGAATACATCGACTCAGAAAAGTGAGCACTTCTGAAGGCCAAGCAGGAGACAGAGAACCGACTCGTCTTGACAGGAGAGAAGCTTGACTATAAGATTGACAGATTGGAAGATGCGCATTGAGAAACTAAAGGCCAAAGAAGAAACGCTGGGAAAATTGGAAGCAGATAGGAAAGCCTGGTGAGAAGAGATGGCCGCCAGCCACAAGGAGATGGTGGCGAAAATCAGATGTGAAACAGATGAAGAGACGATGGCCTGCCAAGACACGACGGGAGCATGTCTAGAAGAGGATAAGCTGACCTCAGTAGATACGAAATCTGAAGTTGCCCAAAAGGAAGAGGTCCCCTTAGAAAACGTCATAGTGAAACCGGCAAGTAGACATAAGAAGCGGCATAGGGGCAAGTAGCAAGCTGCAGGGCGATGTGGAGTGCAAAAGGAACTGACCCAAGGAGGTTGTGGATCTCAGAGGGTATCACCTGCTGCTTGCAGGAAGGTGTCCCGCCGTGCAACAGTGGCATGAAGTAGGAGAGATGCCTTCAAGAAAGAACAGACCCAAAATCAGGATGGGTGCCAGAAGAAATGTGTCATCGCACATGGAAGAATGACGCCCCGTGCAGGAGTGGCACGGCACAAGGGACACATTGTTGGTAAGAACCAAACTAGGAACAACGTTGCAAGAGGAGCCCTGAGATGGCAGACATTCGGTGAAATACTTCAGGTGGAACCGAAGGGCAGCTGGCACTTAAAAAGTATGCAGGCACAAGATGGCAGCTGCTTCTGAAGATTGAGAGGGGAGCAGATGAGCTTGTCAGGAAAGCTTGAGAACTGCAGTTCGGGAAGCAAGCGCCAGATCATCTGTTGGGTTACAAAGAATGATGAATTGGCCGTTGTGGAGGTGTCAGCCCCCTCCGAAATGGAAAGGAGACTGCATACGGAGTAAGAGCCGGGTATGGGGGAACCCGGCCACTAGTGGTGTTGGAGCCCCCACTGGTAAGAAATAGAGAGTGAATGAGCAGTTGTAGAACGAAAGAAAACAAACAAGACACACACCTGGAACTTTTCATGGACATGACAATGAACACAATGAGAATCAGCCATCCAGTGCAACTGGTCATTCCTTTGGACTGACTAGGGTGGGGAAGATGTTGGGAATCATGGACTCAGCATGACGCAATAATGCACGCATTCCCTGCGGTGATACAACAGCAAGGAGCTACATTAGGCAACACTTCTCCGCTGTGATTAACAGCGGACGCTGCTAGGGTAACAGGCCAGTAAACACTTCCCTTGCTGTGACATACAGTGGACCCTGCTCCTGCTAGGGCAACAGTCAACATTATAAGAAGCCAGCTGAGGGCCGAGCATGGCAGTGTGTGTGTTTTGCTGAGACAGAGAACAGTGGAAGGCAGTGTGAGCTGACAAGAAGACAGTGGTTAGCTAGCACGGAGAGATGAACAGTTAGTTCTACAGTACAGTGAGAGTTGTTAATATGAAAGGAGCAACTGTGACACGACTTGTTCAACATTTTGTTACAGTTATGTTGATCTGTAGTTACGGTGTTGAGTAATAAAGTGATGTCGCATTACACCCCTCAAGGTCTAGTTAGACAACACACATTTCTGCAGCAACGAATAAATTTGCAATAATGGAAGAATTCTTGGAATCTGTGCTTTCTACATGGTCCATGCTGAAGTTGAGTTGAGAGTTCAGTATGAAGTCTGGGTCAGTAGTTGAGAGTCTTGAATTGTATTGTTAAGACACCGCTACTAAGCAATGACTAACGAAGACATAGCAGAATGAAAGGACTTAGTGTTTACAGTAGTGACTTGTAGAATGTGTAAACTAGCATGTGTTATAATCCTTTGTAGTTATAAATGCTCAATAAATCCAATTACCAATCCAAACACCATTTCTGGTCACTAACATGCTGACCATCCCACAACTGTGACAGCGCTCAATGCCGCCACCGCTGGCGGGGTGGGGGTCATCCATTGTGCAACATGTCACAATATTAACAAGGAATCTGACAGTAAACACTCACTGTTAAATTTCTGGTTCATCATTTTGGAACACATGTCCCATTACAACATGTTAAAATTAAGTAAGATTTGAGGCTTTCACGGCGGTGACTATGAAGAAAGCAGTCTTCTGGGATTTGGCACCGTGTATATGTGGTGTTAACCGACGTTTCGGAGGAACATATCGCCTCCATCTTCAGGGTAGAAGAAAAAGTATAAGAAATCTGCAAGCGACAAGACCGTGAGAACGGTAAAAGCAGACTGATTTTACCGTTCTCACGGTCTTGTCGCTTGCAGATTTCTTATACTTTTTCTTCTACCCTGAAGATGGAGGCGATATGTTCCTCCGAAACGTCGGTTAACACCACATATACACGGTGCCAAATCCCAGAAGNTTGATGAATGATTCTCGTTTCTCAATGTGCGCTTCCATCTTTTGTTCTAGGGCTTCTCGCGTTTGTGAAATGAAATTATTTGCTTGTTCCTCCCTCTTCTTTGATGCCTCCTCAATCTTTGACATCTTGGCAGCCAAAAAAGCCATCCTGTTTGCTTCCAACGACTGAATGAGGAAAACAAATATCACACATGAATACTGTTCAGTAACAACACAACAGATAAGACAACATAAGGCATAACTTTCTGCAGAGACAATGTCTCAACATGAAGACATACAATTCAAAAACTGCTTATAGCAATTACATTCTGATACACAGGCCTCAAGATCCCGCAGAACAGACATATGAGTAAGAAACTACATTACAATGGTTATTTCTTAAAACGTTCGCTCACTCACTTGGTTATGAAATTCTCCTTCTTTGATGAAATACAGAAGATTTATCACCATGATACTAATCCTATAATCAGCTAGTTGAATCCAGCCTATGACAACCTATACCTCCTAGATCAATTTTAATAGTGTATTCCCCATATGCGGCTAGGTCTTCCACACTGTATTTTCCACTCTCGTTTTTCTGACTAAAATTTTGTATAAATTTCTCCCTTAGTTTAATAAATTAGGTACCACACTATGAAGATGTATGGAGAAGTGGAGGTACAGCTCCATTACTCTTTACTTCAGCACTACAAGGAGGAAAGTGGTCAGCTTCACACCCCCACCATTTTATTCCCCGGAGAAACAGTCCCCTGTACCCATTACACAAAGCTGGTGAATCTGCTGGTTACAAGAGAAAAAACTTGTACAAAAACTCACTGCAAGTCAAATCAACATATTGTCACATGTTAAATGAATAGTCACAGAGCTTGGATAGATAATTCAATTTACTTAACAACTGTAAATCATAACTAAACATAGTTGTAACTTTTGCTAATTCAGTGCTAGATTTCCATCTACAGCACACACCAAGTCTTCCATATATTCTCTTGCTGTTGCCTAGTAACAGCTGCAAACACAATTAAGATTCTTCTGCTCTCACTTACATCATTGTGGGCTATACACCAAATCATGACTCATCTTCAACTGTTGACCCTCAACTCATGACTGCAACTAACCCTCAAACTAATCCAGAGTCAGAGCCAGAGTTACTTCATGACTGGTGGTTTAGCACCAATCAATTTTCACCCTGGCACCAAGCCCCACAAGGCTCATTACCAGAGATTTTCTTTTGGTTGAACCCTTCTGGTCATAGTCTTTATGTGACAACCTCTCTGAGGAGAATATGGATTCATCTCTTATGAATATGCTTGGCGTTTTGTCAAGGGCATGATTCGCACAAGGAAGAATTTACAGTAACTTGCTATATGTGCGATACATGCCCTCATTATTTTGTATGGCTTCTGTTTGCTGCCTGCAGAATTCTATACATATGGAAGAATATGTGCATATGCAGATGACATGGTCATAATACCTAGATCCAGAGGAAAGATAATCAAGATATACAAAGGAAACTGAAGAAAAAGTAGGGAAGTTAGGATTAGAAGTAAATGAAAGAAAAACAAAATATATGATTATGTCAACATAATGGCTATCAAATATTCACCTAGCCTCTACCATAATGGCTCCTGCATGACTTGATGATGGGAGCGCAGCTATGGAGGCAGGGAAAACATGGGAAGCAAACATTACAAACTTGATTCTGAATCCATTAAAAAAATGGTTTATCAATTTTGCTGGTTTAATGAGAATTCCAGATATGTCCCTACCAGAAATCCAGAAATTTACTGTAAAATCTAAGAGGCTAAGACAAGCTGGGCATGTGGCTAGGATGGGAGAAATAAGGAATGTATACATAATTTTTGTATGAAATGGAGAAATGTTTGCTTGGAAGGCCCAAGGAGATGAGGCAGAGACTGGTGTGCAGTGGATGGAATTCACTTAGTGTTAATTAACCCAAGTTTACATGAAAATCAAAAAGAACATGCAAGATGTATCATGGGTAGGTTGTTAATATATAAGTCTGTATCACAGATTTTCAATTTTTTCTGCAGGATTAATGCCGCACAATATTACCAATCTCCTCTCTTCAGCCGCTTTCAATTTCTCCTCGATGTTCTCCACTGAAACCTTGTTGCTGGGGGAGGAAGGTCGTTTGGGAGGAGTCACAGCCACAGGCTCTGCCAGGATTACTTCATATGACAGACCACCCTTAGATTTCTCTTGACACCTGATTTCAGTTGCTGAAAAACAAATTTAAACACATTACAATTAGATGAAAATTCTGGAAACCACAAAATATAAGCAAATGTAATATTTAAAGACTCCTGCTTATTTTTAACCAATTACTGCAATATTATACTTAAGCATCCTGTTACACTCACACAATATATATGAGACAAACTCCGTCTTAAGTGCAACAATTTAATTGTAGTTCTTTCTTCTTCCCTTCCTCCACACTACATGTTTCGGCCCTAAATGGCCATCATCAGGTGTGTATTCTTACGTAGCTGCTACACTGCCCGTAGTTTAAAATTTAAGATCATCAGTCTTTCCAATTGTATGTATGTATAAAATCTTTGTTAACCTACACGCGTAAATTTGATTTCTAAAATTGGCACTTTTTTAAACCTTCAATTCAAATTAAAATGTCTATAAATTTTCANTGCAGCACTATAGACATAGGGCGAGTACCCCGAGAAAATTTTAATTTTTAAAATTTGGAAAAAGAAAAAGAACAGAAAATTTGTAGACATTTTAATTTGAAATGAAGTTTTAAAAAAGTGCCAATATTAGAAATCAAATTGACGCATGTAGATTAACAAAGATTTTATACATACATACAATTGGAAAGACTGATAATTTTAAATTTTAAACTACGGGTAGTGTAGCAGCTACGTAAGAATACACACCTGATGATGGCCATTTAGGGCCGAAACATGTAGTGTGGAGAAAGGGAAGAAGAAAGAACTACAATTAAATTGTTGCACTTAAGACGGAGTTTGTCTCATATATACAATTACTGCAATTTTAACACATAATGTGAGTTCAAAGAAATGCTCTATACTTGTATTAAGGAGGTGTTTGGTTAGAATCTTGGCTGGGCCACTGGCTATTCTGCAGTGTTTGTGGTTTTCCTCAGTCCCTCCAGGATAGTATCTTCATTATGCCACAACTGCTTCCTTCAAATTCATCACCTACCTATCATTATACAATTCAACTCCATATACTCCAGGTACTGACAGTGTACTAAAATAAACCATACAAAAGAAAAAAACATGGCACACAAGTACTAATAAATCATTTTTGATGATACTTATTTCATTGAAGAATCATGATGGATGTGTCCAAAAGAAAGGGAATTGAAATATCTGTTAACCGTTTTTATGCAAGGCTTTTAAATTCAGTAATAACTTCATACATTTCCTTACTAGTTTATAAAACCTTTCAATTAAACCATATGT